TTTTGGTTTAAACAGAACAAGGTTTAGCACAGGTTACAGACCTTTCAATGCTGGAAGCTAAGGAATTGTTTAAAAATAAAGCTTCTAAGACAATTACTACTCATTTTCTTATTTAAATAACAAAATCAGTGAACAATACCTACAAATTTCCAGAACTAATGGGTGCCAAAGCTTGATAAAAATCAGGCAGCCCTGATTAAAACAACAGGCTCAGATGTCATTAGCTGAAAAAGTGAACTTCAAAGGAAATTTTGGCAGCTAAGGTTTCATTAGCTAAAAAAACACAAATAAATCTAAAGCATGTTTCACAAGCTTACAAATACCACATGTCACCTCAAAATGCACTAATAAAAGAGCCAAACACTAATGAAAACTAGATCAGCAACAACAAACAGACCTTACCTAGCATGATGCTGTCAGGCAATACTATGATATAATAAAGCTGAAGCTCACAGAACACTTTTTCCAGGAATTTAACTACAGCCACGAATGTATTGTTTAGTTGACATAGCAAAAAAATAAGTATTCTATAACGATCAAACAGATACAACACAATATCAAACAAAACCAAATAGAGCAAAATCTCCTTTTTCTTCACATGCAACTAAAAAAAAAAAGAAACCCGAACAACAACAACAAAAAAACTCAACCAACACTTCACACAGAAAAACACACTGGGAATTACAGGCAAAAACAGCAAAATAAGTAATTTCAGGTCCACTTACAGTGAATTTTTCTGTTGTGCCACATGAGAAACAAGACAAAATGAAAAGCACACAATAAATCATCTTTTATACCTATGACAATATTTTGCAAACAAGAGATCATTCAGGCATCAAAGGAAACTTAGCACGTGAAAGATTATTTTTAGGATAGAGAAGAAGAGATAGTGAAGATACTAAAGCCCAATATTCTATTAACATGTTTCCTCCCACTCTCAGGTTCATAAATATGACTGACAACTTCAGGAATATTCCCTCCATTCACAAGTGCTGACATATTTCACAATACGCCCCTGAAACAGATGCAGCACAAGAAAACAGTGGATTAGCAACTGAACAGCAAAATTGCAGCTCCTGAAGAATTACTTGAACTTGCTTAAGTGCTGCTTCAGTGAGAAGTGTGTGCAGTTTTTTCAGTGTTAACCTTCCCAGCTACTAGAATCTGAAGAAATTACCTCATGTTTTGTCTAGTGAAGGAACAGGCAAAAGATTTGCCTGAGCTGACACCGGTTTTCCAGCGTCGCATTATGTGACCAGACCATTGGGTGGCAGCAGCAAAGCACACTGCATAGTACCCTAGTCAAAACCAAAACCTTCCAACATCTCGGGGTTCCCAAAGTGTATGAGCTTGATGCTCCATCTAATTTGTCAAAAAAAAGCATACAATACCAAAATAATTTCAAAACTTCCAACTGCTGCTTGCAAACAACTGCGTTACAATTGCAAACCCACCAGCTAGTAAGTGTAGAGCTCAAAGTAGTCATGACTCCAGCCAAAAATCAGAAAGGTTAAACAAATTCTTATTAAGCAATTGTTTGCAAATGCAAATATTTTGGGAAAAAAAAATTCTCAAAAAAGACAGCCTGGCTACCTTTTAACCATATATTCTTCCCCAAAAAGCAACAAAAAGCACTCTGATGTACACAGAGAAAAGCTGTAACCCCTGGACTAGCAGCTTGAGCTGGACATTGCGGCACTGACAACTGGTAGCACAGGCATGTTCTTGCCAGAGGTTTTCAGAGAGATGTGAAATGTGTAGAAACATGACAGAGAAGGAGAAAAAGGAAAATCCAAGTAGGAACTTGACCCTCACCCTATTGCTCCCTAGGCCCTCAGACCAGGCCTTCACTTCTAGGAAACATGTATGAGCTATAAATGAACTACCAACATAGTTTCACTTACCACAATGGGTGAAGACATGCTGTGGTCTGATCTGAGGTTTAAAGAAAGCCTCAGGAAGTCTCTTCATAGCATGAATTTAAGCACAAGCTCACACGCTGCTCTCTGGAATTCTGTTTATTGCAGTCTGAATGCTGCAATATGGGCACTAGAAATGTTTACATCTAGTAAATGTAATTTCTGCAGCAGTATCTGCTGGTAATCCCAGCTGCATTCAGGAAAGCAGGTGAGTCTAGACTCAAATCCTATTTGAACAGTATAGGCTTTTCAGCATAGTGGTGACATTTTCTTTTTAAAAATAAAAAAGCTGAAAGCTTTTCCTTAGATACTGTCAGTGTTCCTTCTCATTATCACTTGACAAAAAAGATTTTGGTAGGATAATATGATACATTCTCTGGTTATATTTCAAATTACTTCTGATGTTGTTAAGTCCTGAATGCAAAATCCTACGCAATTGCTAACACAGAATTCTGGATATAAAAATGGGATGGGAATTACAATCTTTAATATTAAAATATTCTCTAAAACCTGTTCTTTGACTGGTATGGTTTTATTAGCAATACAAACAAGACAACACAAAAAAAGTCATAATGAAGGAACAATATTTTTCATTTTAACAGCAGTTCGTTTGATTGATTAAAACAGGAAAAGAAATTTCTCACGTGCCTGTATGTTCAGGCTTTTAAATGTTTTGTTTTTTAGAAAGGTTGCTGTTTCCTCTTTTGATCTCTGTAATTTATGTTTCTCACCTGTAGTGCCTCAGAAGCTTCCCTCAATGCAAGCTAAAGCAAGTCCATCAATTTCACAGTCAAGTAGGAAAAGAAAACTCTAAAGGACGTGTGTTGTGGTAACTGCACACATCGCTGCTCTGCAACCACAGGTTCTCTGAGACAACCACCCAAGTGGATGCTTAACTCCTCACACACTCCCAACAAAACGTGCTCCTTGGCTGACAAAGCGCTCTCCTCATGAGCACAGCACACCACACACTCAACACTGCCGTGCCACTGTGACTTCTGCTCCGTCGCAGAACTCGGATGTGGGAACCTGGTCTGGGCTGCATATGAATTCAGCACGGAGTCAGCCGGCCTTCAAGCAATGCTGGCAGCATCACCTCGTACCTGGTTTTATTTCTGGGGCTTTCCTTCCTATCTCCTCAGCATTTGTATGGTTTTAAATTAGAATAATGGCAATATGGGCACAACTGGGGGCCTCAGACATAACTAAACCACGCACGGTTTTTACTAACCCCCAGTCCAAGTTCAACATATTTATTCCTTGATGCGCTACACTCCAAACAAAGTCCATATTACATTCCCTTTCTTCCACCAAATTCACCACTATTTTAAGATCTATTTTCAAGAATTTCTCTACTCTTTCACCTCTTTGCCTTACATCTAAAGTTTGGGGTTTTTCTGATTGGTTGGTTGGTTGGGTTTTTTTAACAGTTAACATCTACCATGTAATTTTGAACTGACGGAAGTAAAAAAAGCCAAACTGAGGAACAAGCTCTACTGTGCCAGTATGCTTAGGTCTGTGTGACATTTTCTATGACAATGTGACAAAATAATAATGTCCAGAAACTCACCTCCACCAGTTTGGACAGCAGTCAGCTGTGGTCCCATTTCTCGTAGCCCTTCACTGTCCACAGGATAAGTGGACGTTTGAGATGAGCTTGTTCCTTGTGTATCATCGTCACCCAACACTGTGGTCTGAGCTCTGAGCATCTCCAGGGCTCCTATGTTTGCCATCTCCTCAAAACCTTCGGACATCTGAGCCAAGGGAGAATCTCGAGATGCAGAGAGAAACGGGGTGTCCAGAGGCGAGCTTGGAGGGGACAACGATGACAAGGAGGATCGTGATGACAGGGATGCCAGGGACTGTGGGGTATCCAGAGACCTCCGCTGCTTATTGAAATTGGAGTGTCCAATGGGTTCAGCGTACGGCACATCCTTGGTCAGAGACTCGAAGGGAATGATGTCGAAGCGTAAGTGCTGCCCATAGTCTGTAGCGCTGTCTGATTTGTCGTACTGCGGAAGGCCATAGATGTCCGTAAAGCTGACCGAGCTGAGGGAGCCTCTGCTGGAGGCCAAGGATCCTCGACTGGAGGCCAGGGATCCCCTGCTGCTGCCAGAGGACATCGTGAGCGTGCTAGCTGACAGACTACAGCAGGCAAAGAAAGGGAAAACAAAAAAGGCCCTTTCAAATAAAATCAGAAACCCCAGCACAGACATAAAACACCGACCCAGATTACACAAGCAATTTTACATGTATTCAGTACAGTGACACAGAGAGATGATTTGGCAGTTTAAAGTCCAGCTTGTGTCTCTTGCCCTGGCCTCAAAAGCACAACCATGGCTGGAACAGCGCAAGTGGCAACCAAATCAGGACCACACGCCTGAAGACAAACAGTCCAACAAGATGAGTCTACTCTTTCCTCCAACGCTCAAGCATAGTTTGGCAGAAAAGAGGTCAGAGCAGGACCTGGATCAGTGGACTCAGTGTAAAGCCAGGAAGGGTAGATTACCATGATCCAGTTTGAATTTACCTTAATGATGGGTCATAAACATATCGGGGAGAAGAAGTGAGAAGGGATTTGGAAAGTCCTAACAAACTGCCATGTAAGCCTCACCCTCACAAGTTTTTCCAGTGCAAAATAAAAAAAGACCTTAAAATGAAACCTCTCCCAGTTCCTCTTACCACTCTCAGACAGTTATGGAGAGAAGAATATAAGTGACGGAGAGATGAAGTGAGACACACAGTAGGAACTGAGCTTTTGATGGTGGTGTGGTGTTGAGCTGAGGAATCCCCAAGAGCTGCATCTAAAAAGGCAGCTTCGAGTGTGAATATGCAAAACATTCTGGGCTTCTGTGTGGGTCTCAGCACACTCTCGTATTTAAATGGTAAAATTTTGTCATCTCACCAGGGATCAAAACCCCTCCTTTGGAGAAGGTATCAGGATATTAAACCTCACAGAATTTAGAAGAACATTATCCTCCTATTAGTAAAACTGTGATAATATTACAATGGGGTTTAAGTACTTGTCTTCTTTTCAGAAAATAAGATAACATATAAAGTTCCCAAATACACAAAATAATCTAGCCCAAATGGCCATCACTAATGCTATTTATAAAACTCCCATCCAAATAATCACATGCCCTAGACCAAACTTTATAAAGTCAGTAAAAAATAAATTTACTTGGCACACATACACAGAAGTATTAAAAGGTAAATTTTATAGATTATTAATACTCTTTTCTGCTGCAGTTAAACTTCAAAACCTGTTGGTTTTACATAGCTCACCTTTTTAACTGGGAGTGTAAATATGAGGTTAAACGCGTAGCTTCTTCTAGTTGCATAAGCAAACAATTTCTCTTTTCCTGTAACAGTATCCTATAATTAAACAGACACATATTACTATTTTTCTTCATTACAGTAGTGTTCAAGAAGTGCTAGGAGTTTTCCAAGTACAGAAAAATATCACTGCACTGCAGTTTGGAATATAAAAAGAAGTTTCACCGTTTAATGAAAAGTTTTAATTTATGCAGCTCATATGCAGTGATGGAAATTCCAGTAAGAACACAAGAACCAAGACTCCAGCAGAATTCCCAGATAAGAAAAGTAATTGAGGCACAATTTAAGAGTCATTATGTTGAAAATACATTACAGCAATTGGCAAAGTCATAAGAAGTACTAGATAAACACACCAGACTCTCAAAGAATATTTTCCCCTTGCACCAACCTGATTGTGCCAGTGAAATACAGAGAACTACTATGACGTTCGTCACTTTGGCAGGAAAAAAATATTCCAAACAGCCCTATTATCCAAGCTAATTAGTGTCACTTTCAAACATAAAAAGACAAGTTTTGCAGGACTTCCGTTATGCAGTAACCATAAAACTGAACTTTAAGCTCTAATTCTAAATGTTTCCAGTACATTTACATATCTTTATATTTAAGCATGTGATACAGTGATTTGAATACTAAGCTATGACAAAAATCTCTCACTTCAACGTATTTTTTGCCCATTCTAATAACAAGCAGCTGAATTACTCAGTACCGCTGCCATGACACCAATGGAGCATACCTATAATGCTGTCAGTCTCATACACTTGTAAGATAATCTCAAAATACAGAATTTAACTTGTTAAAACTTCAAAGAATAGATTTTATCTATTCATATCACATTTATTCTTTTCCTGAATCCAGAATTGTAAGTATTCCTGATGTTTTGTTTTTCTAAGCCAAATCACTGAAATTCAAAATAAAATCAGGGTGGTACTCTGTTTTGTGTTGTAAATTCGTATGTCCAGGAAAGTTACTGATCCAGCCCTGCATTCACAAGTTGGCTGGAAATTGGGATTCTGACAGACAGTTTGGAGAAAGCAGATTAAACTTATTTGAGTGCTTCAGATCTTTCTCAACTGCAAAGACAGCTGTTAGAATTCAGGCAGGATTGAGGGAGGTGGGGGGTGGACAAAAAGGGAGTCCTTCTGGATAAAACAAAATGGCAGCATTAGTTTCAATAAACTTTGGATGGTTAAGATATGAAAAAATATGTCTTTGTTAGCAGCAAAACAAATCTCTCAACTTCTTTGGTCTCCAACTTCAGCAATTCATATGCTGGCAAGGGGCCGCAGCGCTATGCTCCAGCAACCCCACCGCCCTCTGGGGAGGCTCCTTTCATTGCAACCACACCGCAGAAGCTGAGCGCTCAAGTGTGTGCAAGGCTGAAGCTTTTCTCCTGCTTCTGTGGACCCCGGACCAGGTTAACCAAGTGGTGCAATGAAGGCTGCAGCTCAGCTCTGTAAACTTACATGATAAAGGCACTGCATGCAGAAACCAAAAGAAACGACAAATTGATGCAAGAAACTTAACTGATTCAAAAGCTTGCAGGAGAAAGGAGGAGTATTTACACCATGTATGATACAAAACAAACTTAGGAACCTACACTCCACAGTAATCAATGTCGTAAGGTAGGTACCTGCGCTACAGGGCAAGAGATGCCTCCAACTAAGTCTGCCAGCCAATCTTAAAACAAAACAAAAACAAACAAAGAAAAAAACCTGTCATACAGATTTTAAGTTAGTTCTGATCCGCATGTAACTTGGTGCCTTTAAAACTCAGTAACAGAACAGAACTGGTAATTATTTAAAGAGAAAACTTCATTGTATTTCACAATTAGGAGAAAATGGAAACAGAAAAGCAGAACTGGGAATGGTTTTGGTTATTCCTGAGCCTAAAACAAACAAGTAAGTTAAGGCTACTAATAGTTAAACTTTCCTACAATTTGCTATACAAAAATAGAGTGCCCTTCAATATTATTCTAACTTCTACTCAACTTTTTGCTAGCATTTGAAATATCAAGTATCATACTGGAACGCTGGTTTCCACAGCATGAACTACATGGAAAAATAGCTTGGCCTTCTTGCCAACATAGTATGCACTACCTAACATGAGAGACCAAAAACAACAAATAAAACTTACTACACTGCAGTGTCAAGTGAACTCCCTTTTCTGTCAGTTTAAGCTGGAAAGCCAATGTAACAACATTGCAAAAACTGTAAAATATATAACATTGAACTGCAGCTTGGCTGTGAATTTTCTAGTTATTGCCTGAATGTACTGTCTCAAGTAAGCCTTTCCAAGGAAATTAAGTTCTCAAAATTTGTAAATGGAAGGCACTTACAAATATTTTAAGTGTCTTAATTAAGTAAAAAAAAAAAACAAAAACCAAAACAACCTTAATTATTTAACTTTCCTGTTATAAGGCAAAAGCCAAATATAGGAAAGTATCTTTGTTCTGAAGTTTTTGGAGATGATTATTACTCCACTGAAAAATAACAGAAAAATCTTTCACTACCGAGGCCGAGTTATTCAGGTCTCTATTATCCAACAATATCACTCAGACTTTCTCCAAGCATCTTCTGTGACTCTATTCTGATCTCTTCTTCCTATTCAGACTTTTTAGATGAAGGAAAGTAGAACTAACTCTCTAACTCCTTCAGAAAACTTCAAGACAGAATTAAATAATGGCAGTCAGAAGCAGTATCTTCCTTTTTTGAAAGCAAATTACTCTAGTAACTTTTTTTTTGTTGTTTCTTAATCACAGGGAAATTCCTTGCTCTTCCTTTTGAAACTACCTATATGGATCTTACAGTAGATAAGAAAAAGATTTAAGTTCCCATACCTTTCAGTGGCCCCATGAGCAGACGTTGCTCGAGCCCGCTGAATTTCATCCTCCAAGCGTCTTTTTTCTTCCTCCAAACGTGCAATGTCTTCTGGGGATCGTCTCTGCTGACTGATGAGCTGCAGCTCCTGAAGAAGAGCCTCCTTCTCTTTGATGAGCTGAAGACGGTCTCTGTCTGCTTCAGCCATTCCTGGCCAAGACTCATTGTCTAGCAAGGCCAGCTGCTGTTGTATATTCGAAACTCTTCAAAAGAGAGTAAACATATTTCAAAACTTAGAAGAGACAAAGAAGACAATTAAGACGAAAAATACCAAAAGGTGAAGCCTGTTGGCTTTTGTGACTTTTTCTTCTTAATTTTGACACAAGAAAATTTAGAGAAGTTTGGAAGGATTATTTGTTTCTGTTTTTTGGAGTGCTTCTGTTTGTTCATTTTGTGTATTTTTAAAACACTAAAGAACTGTAAGAGCTTCTAAGTGTGTAGCTATATAAGAACTACAGAGCATTTATCTATCTCATGGACAATATCTTTTTTCACAGCTTTCTCATTTTGCAATAAATCAATTCATATTTTAGAGCTCCTGAGTTTGCTGCCTGTACAGCTGATGTTGTTGAACATCCTTTCGTTCCTCATTCTTCCACTATCAGCTCCTTAACTTGGGATTTCAAAAGCAGAGTCAGAAGTTGAAGGGGATGAAGGAAAGGTGCTTATCTAGTGACAATAGGTCCATACATTCATGTCCCACCTCAGCAGAGAGGTGGCTCAAGGTGTTGAAAATATTAGGCAGTCCTGACCAACAACAAAATTTTAAGAATAAATAAGCTGTCAGTAAAACAAAAACATAGGTCTGGAAAAAAGATTGACTGGTTACAAAATACAGGTGGCTTTAGATCATCAAATCAAGCAATTAAGTAAGCTAACTTGATTTTTCTGTACTAGGCTTTATAGCCAAAAGTACTTTCCTCTAGCTCAGTATGCTGAGCCACTACACAAAACAACAGTTGTAAGAATAATTCCACAGTTGACATTTTAAGAAAATGTTCTGCTAAAAACAAATTTTGAACTCTTATAAATATTACAAAGAACCCTAAAGCTAGAAATTTCACAAATGTTTCTTTTGGCAAAAACAAAATATATATAAGCATAACAGGGAGAACCTTCTTTTCCTGTTAGGTATTTATGCTTGTCTTACAATGGTCAATTTAGGCACTTCAGAATGTTACAGTTAAAACAAAAAGTAAGAGAAAATCTAGTTTTCTAATTTTTGAACATTTGAAACTAAAGAACTGTAAAACAGTTATGCAACAGCACAGCTCAGTTTCATCTTCATTCTGAAATGGTAGCATTCAAAGTTAAGTGCACTGTAAAAGATGATCTCCCTATAAATAAATAAGTAAATAAATAAATAAATAAAACCATATGTAAAGCCAGCCATAAAAGCGGGATATGCATTCCTTCTTTTGGTAAGTTAGATTTTTAAAGTAATCTTTTTTTCAAAATATCTGGTAAGAAAGAAAACATAATAACAAACAAAGCAAAGTAAAGGCACATAACAAACAAACAGAAGATCCACAGTGTGATAAAGTGTTTAAGAATAAAAGAAAAGGCATAGACGTGACAAAGGTTAAGTTTTCTCCATCTGAAAACAAAACCTCATGCAATGTTTATTTCAGACCGACATCTGGAAAGTATTTGGCCATCTTATTATCAGGGGAAGGGAAATAAAATATCAATATAAATCACTTCCCAATGATAGCATTCATATAAGAATAGGAATTTTACTGTCAATTTTGTCAAATAGATTTCTCCCCGTCCTTAGGTTTAATTTATAGCAAGTAAAGACCTTGGGTATTATGTTACATTTTAGTCTAAAGTGCAATAGTTTATCAAGCTCTTCAATACCATTTCCTCCTCCTTGCAATTAATAACCAACTTCCTGCTAACAGCTACTGAAAGCACCACTGTGAATTGATACGTATAGTCTACATATTTCATGCCCCAGCTATTGTGCATGAATTCCAGATGCAGCTGCCTGAAGAACACCTCGACCCATCAACAAAACGTCAGGGGCAGGAAGAGCGAGCAGAGTCAGGACCCCTCGTCTCTCCTACCCAGGTTGCTACGCTGTTAAAGATTCAGTAAACACTCCTGAAGGCCTCTACAGCCTGATTTTTCAAGTGTTTGGTGCCAAATGAAACAAACGGGAACTCAAGGTCCTTTCAAGAGAATTGCAGAATTCAGCTACAATTGGATAGATACATATATATATATATATATATATATATAATCATAGCTTGGCAAGCACGTGTGCAATCAGAGGAGCCCTGGCAATGTATTTGAGTGACCATGTTCATAAGCTCTTACACAGCTTGCGGATGAAAGAAGGTGAGCTGTGTTTGGTGAAGTCTCTGGGTTGTTTTAGAAGAAAGCTGAAGGACTGATTGTCTCCTTCATTTTAACACTCACTATTGTTTTGCTAACTATTTTTCTAATGCAGGGTGAGCTGGTTAAGAAGCCGACCACAGGAGCAAATAAATGCTAACACAGGCAACAAGGAAGAGAGAAGTACCAGCAGGCAAGAGGGGAAGGTGGGATCCCCCCTTTCAGAGCCAGTTAACCAAAGAATCAGCTTGCCTGTAGAGTAAAACACCACCCTTAATAGAAGAGGTTTTAATTCAGACTCCTGAGCTTGCTGAGAGCACGTAACTAACTCCCTTCGTGTATGACATTTCAGTTTAAAGTTTGTTTTTTCCTCTCAATTTCTGTTATGATGATGCCTTGAAAGTAGGAAGTTGTCATACAGTAACTTAATTATACTGTTATTAAAGGGAAAAGTACTGCTGCAGACAAAGTTTGTATCTCTGAAGAGTTCCAAAATCTGAACAGGCATTTACTTTGATTCCCTTGACAGTCTTAGCATTTCAGCTAGCTATTCCTGTCTCTATGTTTTTCCTTTAAGCAAAGAAAAAGCACTTGCAAAACACGACATAACACAGGAATCTGTTAGGAGGGGAACTACAGCACCAGTAAGCCTGTTTTCTGCAACCTGTATTTCCTGCAAATGAACTGAGGTTTTCAGGGAATTTTGCTGCTTGCTTTCCACTGAGGACTCCCAGCATATGGCAAGTTGTTCCAAAAACCTACCAGTGATAAACTTTTAAAAATTTATCTTCTTGGCTAGAAAACATCCCCAAGGTTTTTACAGTCTCACTCACTCAAACCTAAGAAAAGTATCTGAGGAGTCCCGTTCAGTTCTGCTAAAGACATAATAAAAAATCCTCTTAAGCATGTTCCATAATTCTCCCAACACGAGTTTTTCTTCCCAAATGCAATAAATGCATAAATAAGGAATTTCACTGTGCTTATGCATGACAGACTCTATACCTACACTACATCAGCCATTCTCACTGCCAGTAACTCACAAAAAAGTGGCTGTTTTGCATTTTCAGACCTAGTGCATATATTCACCTACCTTAAGCATTCACTTAAATAAACCAATGACTTGACATAGACTGCAATTTAAAGGAAAAAATAATATTTAGGATCCTTTGTGAAGCCTTTGTTTTTCAAACATTTTTTCCTTCCTATTGGATATTTAAAAAAAAATGTTACTTCTTAAGTAGTCACTGTGAAAGACGACGTTTGCCAGATACTGAGGTCCCTACTAATATAGCAATTTAACATATTCCAGGGGAAAAAACAGTTAATGTTGAGCCATCAACATTCCAGGCATTTTGCCCATTCCCATCCTTGCATAACAAGTGCTGAGGAGCTTGCATTCCACGCTGGTGTAGGTGGTATCAAATGACTGGTTTCCCTAGGTAGGCAGACCCACTTGCTGCTTATTTCAGTATTTAAAAATTTCAAATGGAGATGACTATAACAGTTCCTGTTAAGCAGAAAAGCAGGAGGGGCACAGATAGGATGACAAAGGTTTAACCTGGTGATCTGAAGTAAACACTGATTTGAAATGGCAAACTTGCCCTGAAATGGCCACACTAATGTAGCTAGAATGATGCCTAGCCCAAGATAATGCAGACATAGCATGAGGGAAGATCAGTACAGCCAGTAGTTTATTACAAAAACTACATTATGGGGGCAAAAAAGCATGTATTTTCAGAATTTACAGCGTGTCTGAATTGTTATATATCTATACAGACCCTTGAGACAAAACAGGCCAAGCCTTCTGTCATTGGAAATATCTGGGGAACCTAAAAGATTTTGTTAGCATCTAGAACTTCATCTTCAAGACTGCAATCTGAATCCAGCACTAATGAAATTATACTGCTGAGCTCGAGAACATTTCCCTTTAGAAGAGGTTATTCATTAAAACACAGCATGAGAAGCGAGATTAAAGTAAAAATCACTTTTTGCAAGATGAAAGAGTCTGATTTACAATTACAGTTAACTGCACATTTAGACTGTTACTCAGATTATGAACAAGACAGGTGCCTCGGGGAGGGAAATACTCTGAAGGAATACAAAGGTCCTATCTCATGCTCGTAAAAGGGACAAATTACGGATCTCCTATAGCTAGCACTTCCTAACCTACAAGCGCTGGTATTTCTAACTTAAATAAGTTCTTTGAACTTACTTTGAATTTTCCAAAGAAAAAAAAAGTCACAGTACTCCCCTACACTGAAATGCCTAGATGTTTGGGTGACATATCAGACCATTCTACAGCTGAGGCCTTTGTTACCTGTGGAATGGGAAGACCGGTGGTGATAAAATAAAGAAAAAAAATTCCATGGCTATGATTTGGAGGAGAACAGTGGCTGAGATCACACAAATATGCAGATATGATAAACATAAATCAACCCAGCTTACTCTTTTCCTTAGGCTTATAATGGGCTTACAATGGGACCCAGTTCTCTGCCACTTCAGGTAACAGGGAACTTCTCCCACGTGCAGTACCCAGAGGAGGTGGCTGCCGGAGTGAAGACACATAATGAAGGCCATAAGAACTCGGTAATTTCTGGAATTTATGGACCCTTGTGAGAGTGGATTATGATTTACATCCAAAGATTCCCCAAGGCTAGAGAAAGGGGAAGAAAGAAATGGAAAGAACAAGAAGCTGAGGAACTCAGCCAAATGCTCACAAAATTTCTCCACTGTGTCTACTTTGGCTGCTCCTGCAAGTATGTGCCACTGTGGCTTTGGCAGACAACACGAGTACGCTCTGTAGAATATCCAGCCTTCCTGGCAGCCCAATTCAATAACAAGGAGGTCTTAAATTGGCTTATGACACTCGTGAAACCTTAAGAACCCACTGGCATTTTGCAGACAAAATTAGATATCCACCTTCAGGAAAACTGCAAAGTCTGCTAAAAACAATGGAAGAGAGGAATTAGTATTTTCCGCAATTCACAGGTAAACTGCCATAATGAAAATTTTAGACAGTTCAAGAGCATGGCTCAGCTCCCTTTATAACCTAAAGAAAAAGTTTTATGTTTAAAAATCGACACTGGGAGATTTAGCTTTAGCTGACATGCCTGAGCCAGATATTTATGTGATATCAAGCAAATTGCTTCATTCCTAAATCAGATTTTCAGATTAGTTTAGCAGAATAAAGCATGCAAATCCACTGAATTTCACTAGAAATTAGTCAATTACACCTTGGAACCTGCCTACAGAAGATGAATTTTAACAGGAAAATACTTTACTATGTTACTGCATCAGTACTGGAATGTTGCTATCAATATCCAACCAAAATGTATTTTGTTAGTACAAGTACACATTGTACTGACACACTTCTGCTTGTGCTAGTGCTTTTAAAAGCCAAACTGAAAATTAATTTCAGTAATGAGACAAAAAGCTTGCAACAAAGTAACTATTCAGCAATTATACTGAAAAGAAAGAAGTAACATTCTTAAAGGGAAGTGGAAATATTAAGCATAGCTGAGGAGGAGGCTTTTTCAGGGCAAAAAAGATCTGTTGACTGACACTGTATGATTTAAAGAATTGAACTGAAAAATAACATCTCTGAATTCAAATTTACAGAAGGTATAAGCAAATTACTCCTTTTTCATCCAAATTAGATAAGATGTTTGAAGATACCTGGATGTATTAGTTCATTAAAGTCAGCTACCATCAGATTGGACTATTTAAAAAAAAAACACAGTTAAAAATTTTGGTGCTTCTTATTGGAGTGATCATTTCTCATCTATCGATTAATACACTTCACAGGATATTAAGCATTGCAGCAATCACATTTCATGATCATTTGCTAAAATACTTCATGTAGTCATTATACTGAACTGTAAAAATTGTAAGTTATCAAAGAAAAACAATTTGCTTTTGATTTCTCTTTCTATGAAACAGTCTACTCAGAAAAGTGCTCGAGGGGTACACTTTCCAGTGTGCAAATGCTTTCATGAGAGGTGGTCTCACTGAAATAGCAACTGAAACTAAAAACGGTATTTATCCAGGCAGCTTGGGGCCGCCTGTTCAAAAAGACTGTCCTGCCTCCCTCCAGCTTCTCTGGAGGGCCACACTGACAGATCTGAGAGAAGAAATTTCATGGAAATAAGGTACAGTTTATTTAGAAATAATGGGGGGGAAGAGAAGAGTAAAGAGCAGAAGAAAAGCAATTGAGTCCCTCTTCAGCTGGTGAGTTAAAAAGTAGAATTTGCATGCCTCCTCCCAGAGCCGGAATCAGACACAGGAGAGAGGACCTCTTTCTTCCCCAGAGTGCTGAAGATGTCAGAACCCACAGCTCACATCATCTGAAATACTCATGGGAAAAATTTAATTCCAAATTATCCAACTTCCTTCCAGTGGGAAACTGAAGGGGGGAAAAAAAGCTACATGAATGTCTTAATTTATGCAAAGGCCAAACCACGCAGTAGTTAAGAGAGATTTTGAAGGAGAAGTAAAATAAAATTATCTTTTATAAGGGAGGAGAGATATTTTGGGAGTAAAAGCCAACTTTTCTACTATCACTGGGTCTCATCTCCTGAATTCCTCATGATAGTTCATTCAGAAATCGCAATACTGCATTCAGACACCATATACATAGAATATATTTTTATTTTTAAAAACTTCTTTACTACATATGGCAAATATTCTGCTGGTATCTAGAGCTGTATGATCTTCTGGCTAGATTCACAGGACTACCTAAAATGCAACATGCTGCCTTTCAGTTTGTGGGCTTTTATCCCCGCTTTCCTTTAAGGGAAAAGATATACTTTTCTCCTATCGTTTATTTTAAAAGTCTCTCATTAAAACTTGGAAATAAGACAGTTTGTTTGTTGTACTTATTTGCTATAAGTTTCCACATCCTATTTGACAAGCAAGTAGTCATAATATACTGCTTTACACTTGTGACATACTGTAGCATTTTAATTTTCTACTTTGTAGATTTTAATCCATCACAGCACATTCCGTCACCCACACTGTGCAGTAACAGTAGATACTTCACCAGCCACGGGAGAACGAACACAAAGATATTTAGTAGAGACAAAAGCCCTACAGAAATGCCAGCAAGCTAAGGGGAAGGAATGCATGATAAATGAAGAATGCAACCACAGAGATAACTGGTAGGGGCAATGAGCTTTGTGCAGTTCCACTCAAAAGCTGAAAGCTGATTACTTCCGTACAACATACTGGGCAGAATAAGGCTACTATTTTAAAGCAACTAACGTGCTTTTGCTAAATAACAGACCATTGTCAGAGCTGCTAGCCCGGGACAGCAAACCTACCCTTACTGCAATCACTATTCTCTAGTTGGAAGGTCAGTTACTTGGATTTTCTACACTTAATTAACATCAAACCCTGGCTCACTTCTGATGTTCAGAAATACTGCATTCCATGCACAAACAAATGTTCAGCATTTCCAGCTGAGAAATGCTTCTGCGACTGAAAAAAAAAAAAAGAAACCACCAAAAAAACCCCTCACCACTCCTTTTTCCTGAAATAGCACACAAAGGAATTGTTTTGAAAAAAACATAGAAAAGGTATGTCAGAAAACAAAAGTAAAAACATTTAATACAATCTTCACAGCACCAGTGGCTCTGCTAAACTAAACAGTGTAAAACTAATTCTATCCTCCTCCTTTCAGCAACTGTCATGAACCCCTAAATTAGCACTGGACTATTAAGTGCTAAGGGTTAAGTCTGTGGCCAAACAGGACACTGAGGGTTTTTGTTTTCTCCTTTTTTCCCCCAATTATTTAACCTTTAATAGGTAATAGTCACGGGTATTGGCATGCAGTATTTTACAATGCAGACTTTCATTCCAGCTGCAAATCCTGAATATTTAGCCATGTATCTCTAACATACTTCCACCAATTTAATTTTTTTAAGCCTGTATTGCATCCAAATGTGGGTAAATTTTCCAAGAACAACAAAATGGTGAATTGCCTATAAAGGTTTCAATCCCTGCCAAGACATATGACAAGAGTATGTTTTCCCCCAAAGAAAAAGTCACCATAACATGAAAAAAATGAGACTATAGTATTGAACTCTTTGTTTGTTCTGAGAGATGTAAAAAAACGCAAAATACACAAAGTTGCAAAGAAAAAATAAAAATCCTAACTAAAACAAATTTTAAAACTAAGGTTTTCAAAGTTAACTATACAGGATCTTTCAAGTGTCAGTCAATTTTAATAAGAGAATGTTCTATCAGCACAAATTAAAATAATCATAAGTATATAAAATTACCACGTTCAAGTCATCACCTATACCTACAGTATTGTTCTGAATACGTGGAAAATACTTTGAAAACAATGAGGTTAAATGAGGACCCAGTAAACTATATTAGTAGGTAGTATTTTTATAATAGTATCAAATAAGAATAGATTACTTTTACAAAGTCATTAAAAAAACACTGCAAGACTGACCTCCACAAAAGAAACACTTATGATAAAGCAATTAGATTCAAGGACTTAGTGAAGAATTAATCTATTTCAAGGTGGGTTTTTTTAATTTTTATCATTTTTTTTTTTCAACCTTAACATTTATTTTTATGTACCCTTTTGTTTAGCTCTGAACATCTTCATTTATCTCACAGGAAGTTCTGCATTCTTTCTTCACGCAGAGTTCACAACTTCAGTGCACTGAACTTGGAACACAGTTTTGGAAAGCTCTGAATATACTGACAGACCAGGCTGGCAAGTGTAAATTTAAAGACTGCTTATGTTGAGGTTTGAGAAGAAGGGGAAAAATTGTAAAATGGTTCAATTTAACTGCTGCAATTTTGCATTTATACAAGTGTAGAACAGTGCTGACATTTAGCTTTATCTCTGCAAACAAATATAATTAGCTTATTATAAAGTCTTACGTTTACCTAAGTTTTTATTATCTGCAAACCACTCAATAGTAAGCAAATTAGTATTCCTAAAGACATTTCAGCTAGCAGGCTGGTTCCAGTTCTACTTTGAAAACTTTAATCACAAGAGTTAAAATAAAAACCAACAAATTTATCTTTAATTACCTTTTCTTGGCCTCTTCATACTGCCAGTTCAGTCTTACTTTATCTACAAGTCTTGTTTTGTCATCAAACCCAAACTTTTGCAGAGTTGAAGAGCAAGGAGAGGGGGAAAAAGAGAAGGAAAAATGACAATTTAGAAACACTCTCACGATAAAGGAAGGGCAAAATTAGTCTCACTTACTGGAATCATTAATAAACCTCAATGCTTTAGGTAACAACACAATAAAAAACAATTTCAGACTTTAGAAATAAAAAAAACTGGCTTATCACTAAAAATACAGAAGATAATATATTCATAATATATTCAATATATTATGATCCTGGAAACCAAGAGTTAGCAAACAGAATCACTGATGAATGGTCAAAGCTTTTCAACTTTATCCGAGCCTAAAACACAAAGAGTATTTTAAATGAAATATTTTACTACTTGATACAGCTATTTTATAGGTGGTTTAATTAGAAGTAATTCAGATTACATTCCCTGTACTGTGATGTGTTACCCAGCACTTAGATCATTAATGTGTTTTAAACAGTACTACAAAAACATCACCCGATCCTTGAACCAGTCACAGAATGCTGATGTATGCTACAACTCCTACTGTACGCGTTCCAGTTTCTACAGCAACCTCTCTCCATCTCAGGGCATCAGGAGTTCTCCTCTTCAGAGGTCTGCGTACAGTCTAGTAGTTAAAACCCAAGTCTCTAAGTGCTTTGCTGCACCTCCGGATTTCTCACCCAACTGCTGCTTTTGCGCTCTTCATCACCAAATGCATAAAAAATCCAACTCTTTTTTACTCACATTCCCCTACCAATAATTCAGGAAAACAATTAACATAATTATGTAATTTTATTTTCCTAACAAAAAACCTATACCTGATAAACAGAGTTTTCAGACTATACTTGGCTTGTCTTGGATGGCATTCAATGTGTATTGTGAATGGGGAAACACTGATATGTTCCTTTTGGTAATTTGTTTCAGAATTCAACAACCACATCCACCACCAGTCCAAAAAATGACATCCCAAAGGCATCATCTACCTAACACACTGCAAGACAGCCTAGTGTTAGCCAAGTTTTCTTAGATGCTTTAGGAGTATATCTTCTTAAAAACACAGATTTCTTCTTCTGCAGAGGCCCCCTGGAGACATCCAACTTGGCAACTAGTCAGCAGTGAAAGAAGACAATAGAGATGGGATGATGAAAGCCTACACTTAAAAAGTTACATAGTTCAATAAAAATTTCTAACCAAATGTGGAATAACATCCGAACTACAGGACTAACAAACTACAAACAGGTTGTCTTCTTGCTTTGTTGTCAATCTCATCCACAGAAACAAGTGTTTTATTGCTGAAGAACAGCTAGGCTGCCACAGTGCGAGTGCAAGCCAAATTTTATTATTTGGAATGCACAGTTCCATTCATACAGAACTATATCCAAGGAATGCAATTATATTCTTCTCAAATACCATATTTAAAGGCATATTTGAGCTTAAAGGTATGACAGACTAGATCAGAAGTTTTGTTAGTTTCTACAAAGAATACTTTGAGACTCTAATAAATACTTTCCTTGTCTCAGAGAAAAAGAACAGAGGTCTACCCTACATCTTTGATGTATATGAGCAATGACAACAAGCATGATAAAAAACAAGATTTAAAAACAAAACCAGACAAACAAAAAAAACCCCATCTATCACTACTAAAAGAATGCTAACACCTCATACTGTTGCACAATCAGGTCTCTGCTGCAATTCCAAGCTGGTTAAAGCGCGTTCTTCCTTCCTGCACCATTACAAGCACCAGTAAGTCAGAGGTGGCAATATGAAGAGGTCCATGGACACCTCAGCCAGAGCTGTTACTCAGAGATGAACCTGTGGTCACCAGAGCGATGATGTGAGAGCTGGCTGAGTCTGGGAGCTGACTTTACCTGTCACTGACCTGCGAGCACGTTGCTATGCCCTGTGTCACACTCAAGTAGCAGAACTGCAAAGCCCAACACTCATGAGTGCCTTTCACACACTCTGGAAACAATAAGCAAACAACTCCCTCGCCACCAATACTGCTTTGGATTTTTCGTTCTGCTACAGCCAACACCTCTTAAATTAAATCAGGAAATAATGATGTATCACTATAGTACAAAAGCAGCTTATTTTCTACAGCAAATGCCTCGCACAGGAATGCATACCTCTCCAGTGATGTCAGTCTGAGAACAAGCATCACAGTGTTGTTGAGGTAAACAGGAGTCGCTGAGCGAACTAGAATTGTGCTGGAGATCCTGCAGGGAATCTGTAATACAACAGCTATTCCTGAATCCATCTGTTAACTTGGCCAGGCTCTACAGTAGAAGAGATATATTAAAAAAAAAAAAAAATAAAAAATAATTTATTTTTAGAATCCTTTTATTAATAGAAAACAAAGAAAAAATTATTTGTTTTAGAAATATGACAAGTAGGTTGCCTATAAAGAGTTATTTACAGAAAGTAAAACTCATCACAGTGTTACTAACAGGAAGAAGCTTTGCTTTGAAATAAAATTCTCCTTTTAAAAGATGCATTTAACAGTAAAGAGATTTTAAATTATTTGGTTTAGAACTATGAATGTTTTAGATTTTGTACAGTTTACAGTTCTTTAAATCTACCAGCTGTCAACTTTCAGTTTAGGCAACAGGGAACACAAATGTGATTCACCTGCCCTTTTGCCATCTTCTGTACAGGTTACATTCCTTAGCCACTACTGCTATCACATCCAACTTGATGAATACCTTGTATTGATTGTATTTTTATGACCGCTGGTTTCACCCTTGTGCTCTCTTACCCAAGGTTCAATAGTTAAGAGATATTTTACACTTTGGGTTAAGCAAGGGACATCTCTCCAATGTCTAGACAATGACGCAAACTCTGAGGGTAAAGCACAGACCTAAAGAAGCCTTTAAGGGGAAAGAGGAGTAAAACAGAATCACACAAAATAAGAACAATAACTTGTTTGACAATACAGGCTTGGATGGCAGGCTCTTAAAATTCCTTTAAAAAAAAAAAAGATAAAATTGTTAATATAACTTATTTTCTGATTGTGCATCCCCTCTTTTTCAAAAGTTACAGATAATGTAGTATCAATAACAAAACCACTGTGCAGACTGTCATTTATGATGGAGACCCTAGAACACTAAAAAAATACATTAAAAAATTAAATTCTGTCCCATCACTAGAAGATAAAGGACAATCAAACTATGTGAAAAAAAAAACAAACAACAAAACAGAAATTGGAAGAGCTGTATAAATCATAACATAACTAAACCATTTGGTTCTAAAAATACACATAAGTACTCTCAAAACTGCTTACTACAGTATCAGAGACAAATGAGAAGCCCTGCATTGGGAAAAGGCTGGCCCTCAGGAATCTCAGTGGCTCTTGTTGACAACTGCTGATTTGCTACAAGCCCCATCTATTGTCCATATCCAGCTACCAGGAGATTTCTTAAGTCTTCAAAGTGAAGTTTAAAAAAGATAACGCATCAATGCTGCCTTTTCTTACAACAAATTTAACTAATGGAGTCAAGAAGATGAAGCTGTGTAACAATAACTGGCTGTTGCTCACAGGAACAGCAAGGCCACCTTGAAGATGAAGGCATCCAGTTTTGGAGCCTAGAAAGCATCCACAGCAGTTGCAGCAGGCCTGAAACTAGCCAGCAAAAGCAGTTTTTTTCTGGTGGCCTTTATTTCCATCATATGCGGCCAATCCTTTTGTTCTCATTAAATGCCGGTCCCTCCCTCAGGCCTGCCTCCACTAGAGGAGAAAAAGAGGGAAAATAGCCAGCCTGGTGCAGCACAAACAAACAGGTGGGCTCCCTACCCACAGGAGTGGGGGCCCTGTGCTCCTCCCTGCCATGCCCCCTAATCACACACACTTCGTCTTCTTCCTATTAGGGAGCAGCAGGGAAAGATGTAGGTACGTGCCAGATGTCAGAGAGCACGTGCTGCTTGCTCTTCAAGGTCTGGTACTGGGTCTGAGTGGGGCTGGAATTTGCAGTCAGCAGTGGCAGGGGCAGAGGACAGTGCAGAATGATGCCAACAGTGGGACAATGCTACCGCTACTTGCCTCCAGAAGCTCAGTCTGTCTTTGGTCCCCAGAAAAAGCCAATTCTTCTGCCACCTCCCAGTTGAACAGTGCATGAAAGGAGGGAGTAGAGAGGTGGGGGTCGGTCTGTTCAACCAAATAACAAGTGATAGGACATGATGAAATGGCCTCAAGTTGCACCAAGGAAAGTTTAGATTGGATATTAGGAAGAATTTCTTTACTGGAAGGGTTCTCAGGCATTGGAACGGGTTGCCCAGGGCAGTGGTGGAGTCCCCATCCCTGGAGGTATTTGAGTTGTGTAGGTGTAGTGCTTAGGAACGTGGTTTAGTCAGGGACTTGTCAGTGTGAGGTTAATGGGTGGACTCTATGATCTTAAAGGTCTTTTCCAATCTAGGCGATTCTGTGATTCTGTGACCTTAGTATGAAGGGCAAATGAAATAGTTTCTTCTCAGTTCTGAGAGAGCAAAGTTCAGTTTCGAGTCACGTTGATGAGAAATCCCTGAAGTTCCTTTATCCTCCAAGACTTGCTGCAAAATGAGCTGCTCCACAACATAGCAAAAAGAAAACCAGAGTGTCTTCCACTTTATGAAAATTGAAAATTGCAGACTCCTGTCTAACTCTCTTCTTCATAACTCACTGGAAATCATCCAGTCCTGTCAGTCTCCTGCTGTACAGAGGATCAAGATGGATACCCAATGGGTTTATAATGTGGAAATAATTATTTCAAATCATAGCTACACAAACAACAAACATCTAACATGTCCTCTTCCCAGTAAAGCAGAGCCAGTCACATGAACAGAAACTGAGGATTAAGAAAGCCCAAGGTTTCTCACAAATAAGCTATGTCTCATCTGGCACCTTTGTTTAACACATATTATGTTACAGGCATATGTAAAACCAAAGATCCTGATGCCAGAAATTAAATCTAAACTTTTGCCTGTTTTTCAGCTACTTTATGCACTCCTGGTGTGCTCCTGACACCCTCCAGCATCTCCGTGGCAGGTAATGAAGGGCTGCTTGGCTGCTGGCCAGGCTTCCTATCCAGACACAGTTGCTGAACCCTGGATACTACTTAAAAATTACACAGCATTTGACAGATGGCAATCACTAAATAGCATCACCTTAACTTGCATCTGTGTGCATAAGTGGCTATGCTTTAGGGCAAGCATATGTGCTCTGAGTCCTCCTAGTCAGATAAGTAAAAGCACAGCCTCCAGCAATCTTAACATGGAAAATTACAACCTGAGTTAGCATACTTCTAGATAGAAACAATTTACATAAACTGCCAGGAGTAATATCCTCCCCAGCCATATGGAGGAATCCACCTTTCATCTGGGGTTTATGGATTGTTTATGGCAGTCCCACAGAACTGCCAGACCAGCCTACCATACAGATGTGAAGTTCTAGGCACACCAGTCCAGACCTACCCAAAAAGAGAGAAATGAGCACTGTCATTTCATCATTGCCTGTTGCTATCTAATTTGGGAGCTCTCTACCACATAGAATTTCAGTGCTGTTCCTATCTAACCTATTTAGCCTATTTAACTGGTAAAGAAAGGGACAGAAAAGAAAACAGAAAGAAAAAAAAAGAAACAACAACACAAAAACCAAACTCCAATGCTTCCTAGGATAAAGGAGAACATTTTAAAAGTATATGCACATACTGGAACAGAAACACAAGTATGAAACGGATGGGGGAGAGACACACAGGCTGCTTTCAGGAACCTAATCACGCACCTTGATTACTCAAATCTTATATCTAAAGTTTGACCACTTTTCTGGAGCACTGACACTGCATATTTGGCTTTATTTGTAACCACAGCACCCAGTTTAAATCTGACCACCTTCCCTTTCCTTCATTAGCCTTCTCTCCCACGCAACTCAATCCAATTATCATATTTCTATGACAGCTACAATTTTCCAAGCACCTACACAAGACTGAGTCATTTCTAATATGTTTAGTTCTGTTGCTTACAGTGACAAGATTTAAATTAAGGAATAGTAAGAAATTGTCTATTTCCTTTCTCCGAAATAAATCCCCATCTGTTTACACAATACTTCAAACTCTTTTAATGAACAGCTTTCAAAACAAAAAGGGAGGAAACCTAGTCAGGGAGACAAAAGAAGGCCAGTAGTTAGGCTCTCCAAGATCTCACATACACATGTTTAAATTACCAGCTAGTTTCCTAAAATGTGTGTCACTGCATTCATGAAGAACTGCCTTGCTAATCATTTCTTGCTACCCAGACATATGGAAGACTGAGAATCACTTTAAAACTTGGCCAACACAAAATATCAAATATGTTTAAAGTTGCTAAGGCAGAAACTTTTCATAGCAACTTAAGCGTTCTGTCTACTTGAACAACGATTTGTGGTCCATCAGCTGACCTTTGGGTAATGCTCTGGACACTGAACAACTACATAACTTTCAAAATTCATTATATGTAGCTTACACAAGCTACCCATATAATTTAACAATTAAAACAAAAACAAAAAACCAGCAAAACACTACTGCAGAGAAAACTGAAATTAAATGTTTGAATAGCAGTACTAATTCAGCATGGTTCTAAAAACACAGACAAAGGTAACAAAGACGTCTTTTTCCATACAGCAGTTTGAAGACTGGGTGAAAAGAACTGTCCTTGTCACCCCTCTGTATCTGAAGTATATTTGGGCAAGTCTATACTGAAGTCAACTGTGATGGCAGAGGCTCGTGGCTCTTTGATGAAGCTGCCGTCACATTAGTAACACCAACTGAGGGCTTGGAGCAACATGCAGAACTCATTCAAAAGTCTGATCAATATTCAGGCATGTATCTCCCCTTGATCCTCATGCTCCAATTCATAAAATAATTTAAAGCTTCCACAATGTTTTCTGTATGCATTGGATTTAATCATGCTTTTTGAGGGTTTTGTGAGAACATTTGAAATTAACATGTGTCTTTATATGAGGGTCCCCAACATAAGAAGGACATGGACCTACTGGAGCAAGTCCAGAGGAGGGCCACCAGGATGATCCGAGGGCTGGAGCACCTCTCCTGTGAGGACAGGCTGAGAGAGTTGGGGCTGTTCAGCCTGGAGAAGAGAAGGCTCCGGGGACACCTTATAGCGGCCTTCCAGTACCTCAAGGGGCTACGGGAACACTGGAGAGGGATTTTTTACGAGGGCAGGTATTGAGGTCAAACGGCTTTATACTGGAAGAGGGTAGGTTTAGATTAGATATTAGAAAGAAATTCTTCACTGTGAGGGTGGTCAGACACTGGAACAGGTTGCCCAGGGAAGCTGTGGATGCCCCCTCCCTGGAAGTGTTCAAGGCCAGGCTGGATGAGGCTTTGAGTGGCCTGGTCTGGTGGAAGGTGTCCCTGCTGATGTCAGGGGGGTTGGAACTAGATGATCTTTAAGGTCCCTTCCAACCCAAACCATTCTGTGATTCTATGAGTACTTAAGAGTAGAGTTTAGGACAAAAAAAGGAGAACTGCCAAACTGTGGCATAGTAACATAGAGATTCAGTTTTGTGAAACGCTTATGAAAGGAAAAACAAGGTAGACAATAAACATTTCAGCACATGAATTTTCAAGTCCTACTTTATTATAGGTAATACAAAGAGACATTAAACAAAATGAAAAACAAATACCATAAAACTTAAAGATGTTTTTACATGGAGCATAGTTACTCCATAGCAGTCGATACCGTCAGCAGCAATGGAAAGCTATATTCAATAAAGACATTGATCTAAATGTAAGGATAGTACATTATCTAAGACAAAAATATGAAATGCATACGAAGTCTTGTGTTCACAGTACAGACAACAACTACTTACCTCTTTCGAGCTGCCTGCCATTGGCAACTATCAAACAGAAAAATCAGTTTAGGCCATCCTACTTCCTTATTTAAACTTGGTAAGCCCAGTGCAATCATAAACAAGAAAACAGAGCTAGATTATTACATCTGAGCAGCTATTTGTTCAGTAGCATATTTTTTACCTGCATAAGGTCCTGCCTTTCTTTTTCACCTGTGCATATAGCTTTCTTTATGCTTCGAAGCTCACTCATTATAGCTTGTGCTTCATCCAGTCTGTAATTTGTATGAGCACTTGACATCTTACGGTCAATCCTGTTGAAAAGATTAAAACAAATTCAGGAATTTTCACATAATTAGAAAGCACACAGGCATTTTAAGACCTCTTGTTTACCCATGTGCCACTTTATTTCCAGGTATAAAACAATTCTCTACTTGGAATTAACACAGTACTTGGTGTCAAGTACACTCTAAAGACAAAGCAATGCAATTATCTCCCCAGGTTCTACAGAACTAACAAATTTCCTCATTTTAATGTCCTAATGCAGAGATGCAGAGCTTGCTGACTGGCAAGGTCTGTGGGCTATTTCACAGAACAAAAGTAAAATCAACCTAGAACTAACCTACACCTTAATAATTCAAAAGATAAAGACGTTAGCAATCTAGCTGTCACATTTTCCATGCAGCACTACACACTGCAACGTCACTTCCAGGATATCTATTTGATTTTGCTTTAGAAGCTTCTAACAAAGGCATTTCCTTTCCTTGGGAAGAAATTCTGAATTCCTAAAATTTTATTACAAATGTTTTACTGCCCTTATGGGCATCTTTGAGCATGTTTTCTAGAAGACATCATCATCCTGCTGTACAGAACATGACATTGGACCATCCCAGAAGATTTCAAATGCAAGCTCAGCAGGGAGCAAGAGCACTACTCATTACATCTGAAGCACTACTAACATTTCCAACTTGACATGGAAGTGTCCCATCTTAAGTGGAAAATCCACTGCCTGAGTTTGAGTTTTCAATTTTTTTTTCCAATAGTTCACAACAGTCAAGGACAATAGGACTCAGAAGTCTAGTACAGTGTATCATCTTGATAATTTACTTAGATTTATAGATCAAGAACAAGACTAGAGACTCTGCAGAACTTACTAGAAAACCATTTGGTCTTGGTTTTATAACAAAAAGCTATGGGATTTTACGAGGCAATTAGTGAAAATTCTGTTCAAAATATGAAAACTTCAATTTTCCTGTTACCTAGCATAGAAAGTGTGCATACAGAAAAAAAGGTGGTATCATAATGCTCCCTAAGGCAACAGTAAGAACAAACATCTATAGGAAAAGGTGTCTCTATTCAACAGGAATTAAAAGGAAAACATACATCAGTCATTACACAGGACATTAGTTTATAAAAAGATGTAGCAGGAGACAGTACACTATAAATACGACAAGAATATTCAAACTATTTAAAATATTGAGAATAACTAAAAGTTTCAAGGTAGGTATTATATTAAGCTAAGAGTATCAAAAATATTCACATACAACATGTTCTGCCAGTTAAACAAAATCTGTGAAATTCCACTTGCAGCAAATTACTTTAAAATTAAAATATTAAAATGAAAAATCAAAAAGCTTGAATTCAGATCCTGTGGTTTTATTGTGCAGTTCATAATATTTAGGAAAAAAATGCAGGCTGCCTTTCTATGGTTCTGTTTGGTTTGTTTGTTTTCTGTCAGTTCCTGCTTTTGGAAACAACACAAAATAAGTCTGAACCTCAAGCTTTTTACTTAAGCACAATTTTCCCCATGTTGCATAAGAAAATACATAAGCCTTTATGATTTTTGGTTCAAGAACAAGAAAGGACTTAAATGTCAGGTGGTTTAAAGTTCATTTTTGTTTGGTCAGTTTTGTTTTCCTTTTAAGATGGTTCCTTGAGTCTTCACTAACTTTTAGTTACGATCTTGAAAAGATTAGATGAAACCATGGTAAGACAACCAATTCACTAAAAGTTACATGAAAAAGATAACGTGGTTTTATCTGAAGGTTACTTTAATGTTAAGAACATAGATTCCACCCAAGCATTAGACCCAAAAATGCCTCCTCCTACAAAACTGCTCATTATACTGTTTGCCAGGTCCAAGCTGGCATTTCAGGAAAAGGAAATTATTTAATTTCAACCAGATTTTTGTCCAGTTACCCACATATTCATGTTCCTGGACGTCGCTTTGGAGCCCAACTTATGAACTGCTATTTGTTTAATGAAAGAATCACAAAAGTTTCTACTGCCTGAAATATCTGAGCTTAAATCGTATTGCTGTCCACCCAAACAGACTTAAGTACCTTACAAAATTACTTGTTATTTATTGTCTATGAGTTGGGGTTTTTTTCCCTCCTTTCATAAAGCTCTAGTTTTGAAAGCCAAAAAGCTAAAAGGAATCTTCCATTTTATTAATGGAAAATAGCACGATACAAATACAGATTAGAGCTTTGTAGGAATAGAAAGAACATTCAACTAACACACAAAACTATGAATGAAGTATACATCTGCTGAGGAAGATGTTTCCAGGATACACAGGCTATTAATACACTGGCAATACTTTCAGTCCTATAGGGCAGTTTCTGTGTTTCTCTGTTTTCGTCCCCCTGCTTTCAAACATGCAAGGCTCCCCCCATCCTCACCAAAACACAGGTCTGCAGCTGAGTTGAAATCTAATTTTAAAGCTTTTGTCAGGTCTCATATCCTCTGAACTAGTCTGTAGCTAAAAATTGTTTAGTCAGTCCCAATTCCCTGTCTCTCCCAACTTCTCTCAGAGTTCACTCTGCTCTCGCAGCCAACTGGCTGAGTTTTCGTTTCCTTCGTTGCCGAATGCCTTCTTCCTCCACAGTTCCTGCCAGTGAGCAGAAGGGTCACTGAAAACACAGGGGAGGAGGAACTGCTCCACATTCTCAGTCCCTGCTCCAGGTCAGAGGAAGGGTTTTGTTCCAGGAAAGGCTCATCTTTAACCCTGTAACTCTGGACTGTGACAGAATCAGCTGCAACTCGGGGCAAAGGCGCCTGTGGAGACCAAGGAACACTGTTGTGCAGGACGGCATCTTTGCAGGCTTTAAACGGTGAGCTCTAGAAAGTCCCCCGTGGGCAAAGCTGGACTGTGATGTTCCAAGGTTTATCACAGCATGGTAAAATTTGGATGAAACTGTAGAAAATACAGCTCTAACAAAACGCTGCAGAACTACAAAATTTGAAATTCTGACTGTATTGGAGTTGTAGAGCTATTAAAAAAACACCAATCCTCTCTCCCCCCACAAAACCCCACTTCTGTCTAGTTGTTTTGTAGAGGTTTTTGTTTGCCTGTTTTTTATTCTCCTCAAAGATGGCTAAGTCATTTTATCAAAATTAAAAAGAATAGAAAACAAAACACAGTCCAAAGCAGACACTGAAATTGGAAAATGTCAATGCAAGAGATTTGCATTTAACAAAGGCATCTGAACCAGACAGCAACATAAAATGTTGAAAATACTGAACAACCTCATCCTCCTCAGCATGAAATCTGTCTCTTCTCTGAGAGCTCTCCCCAGCAGAGGTTGCACAGGGAGTTGCATGGCAGCAGGTTCTGATACCTGCTCATACTGGTCAAACCTTCAAAGCAAACAGTCAGCCAGATGTAAAGCCCAAACTGTGACAGCTCCTAATATTGCTCTTGGCTTATACTTGAAATAAAGCGAAAAACATGGCTTTAAAACAGCTGAACAGGATGCATGCCATTCTCAGTTTGGCAGTTACTTGAAGATTTGACCTAGCACAAGAAGGGAGAAAAATTATGCAGACCAAAAATTTAGAAAAGGTAACAAAAGGGAGAAATGTCCAAGATGCAAGAAACTTAAAAAAACCCAAAACCAACAAAAACCCATAACTAAAAAACCCCCCAAAAACCCCAAACCACAGCATTTTTGTTTTAAAGAAGGAGCAACAAGTTTCTTTTAGACAATACACTTACTTTGTGGATATGCAAAAACTGAAATACTTCAGCTTTCGTACTTGAGTTGAGTGACCCTTCTCTCCCCACAAGTACAAAGGGGAGGGGAGAGATCGCCCAGGGACAACCTAGAGCACAGTTACGCTTTGAGCCCGATTTGTCTGCTGACTACACCAGGAGAACAGAGAAACTGAGAGAGAGAGAAAGTTGTTAGTGCGAGTACTCTCCAAATTGGCTCACTTCCTACTAGAAGCAAAATACTCAAAAGAAAGTACGTATCTCACCAGAAAGGCAATTAAAAAAATACTTAAAAACACAAAACAAAACCAAATCCACAAGCCTCTGGTTCACAAGTGAAGAAGTCACTGCAGAGAGCAGAGCTCAGCAAGGCACAAACATTGACAGAAATTCACCGCAATCCCAGATAACGCATGGGCAAAACGTTCTCCCCAGCTTCAGCAAGCAACAACAAATGCCACCCAGGGCCCAAGGGGCAGTGACTGGAGTGTCAGCAGCAGTGAGCAGCACTGAAGCACTGAGTTGTCATGCTTGAACTTTTGAACTAGATTATTAGAGTGACCACTAATTAATCAGATATGCTTTGAAATAATTCCTCTCTAGAATGTCCCTCCTATACTCCCATCCTGGAATACGGGCAACTTCACTTGGGCTAAAATCCAAGACTAACATTTGTATTCTTAATCTTTCGCAGACTTTACTCTTCAAAAAGTTGCACTACTTTGCTGGACTATCTTAAATGAACTGTATTAATTAAAACAATCTTGAGTTTCAAATGGCCTTCAAATACTTTCATCATCCTAGTGAAGTGATTAGTCCTTTTATAAAAAAAACCAAAACAGATTGAACCTATAACCTTAAAATAACCCAATAACCAGGAGAAGTAAAACATAGAGAAAGTAGGAAAGGCAAGGCAATTCTTACTTACGTAAAGAAAATATAATTAAGAATCTTAAGATAAAATTGCTTTTGTTCTGTTACTGCTTACGCATCTAGGTCATCATCCTAAAACATTGACTAAAAATATTACTTAAAATATTTGCTGTTTCAACACACTAAGTGCTTTATTTTACTCATTTTTAGTTAATATCATACATTAACAATTCCCCTAACTACCTGTAAATGCTTCATGGAGTCAATAAAAATATATTTATGCCTGAACATGATTACATTATATCTGCCAATGAAGGATTTGGGGTGAATAAGTTTTCTTATCTGAAGCTTTTAAAATGCATTATAAAACAAAAGAACCTTGTAAGCTTAAAAAAAAAAAAAAAAAAAGGGCGTGCCCATGTGTTGTGCCACCAACGCAATAAATCCAAAGCTTCAAAATATTTCCACAGATACTGTACTTATGCTGCAAAACGCATGAGACATGCAACAGTTCCAACACTTTCAGAAAGTGCCTGCATCAGGCAGTTTGTTCACATGCATGCTGGAAAAAAGGCCAAGATTTCTAAACGCGTGGCCACATGTCCAAGGCAAAGCCAAGAGCTGTTCAACATACAGTCTAGCCCCTGGCCTTGTTGAACAGATCTAGAAGCCACAACCACCTGTGTTTACCTGCCATCTTCCATGGCCTGGCAACCTCTCTCCCTATCCCACTGGGCATCCTGCGTACGTGCTACGTGCAGGGGACTAAGTAGTGCACAGATGGAAGTCACTCAGTTCCCATCTGATGGCCTGCAGGAAGAGTGGCAGGGAGAGGGTCACCACAACAGTTCACAACCTTTGCCACTACTGAGCACAAAGGAAAACAAGCACAAGCTGCCTAATAGCCCTGGGAGCAGTGGCAAATTGCCTCAAGCTACCTTTCCTCACAGGGAGGAGAGAAGGAGTCACATTTACATGCACTCAATCTGCACACACGCAACAAAACTGAAGGTCTCGCAGACCATCAGCCTTACACACACACACACATACACACATACAAAAATAAGCTATACTGGGTTGAATGAGATGGCCTGACCATCAGGCAAAAGGAAGAAGCAGTGTTGTGGTGTACATACAGCCTTCCTGCCCAGTAGAAATACTGAGCCCAGCCAGAAAGCCTCGGTACTGTTCACAGGAACAATACTCTACTGTGTGGTGCTTCAGACTGTGCTCCAGGCAGTAGATATCTCCAGAAAATGTTTAGAAAATAATTTTAAAATCTAATTCCACTTCAACGACATCTTCAGGAAGAGTTAAAGAATGGGACCTTTAAAACTGTTTTTGCATGTGGATCTATGAAATCATCATTCCAAGCAATTCTGTCCAACTTTTCCTCCACAATTTCAAACAGTTCTCACCCCGCATCACTAACATAGCAGAAACTCTGAAGCAAAGCAATTAAAAGGTTTCAACCTGGTTTTTTTTTTGGAAACACTTTTCTAAGAAATTCATTCCTAGGCAAATAAATAAAAAAGTTCCTCCCACAAACTCTTAACTTACTCTTGCAGAGTTTCCACTCCTTTTTCCTTATATTGCAGCTCCTGCTTCATCTGTGCCAATTCTCGTTTTAGCCTAGAAAGCTGAATATAACAAAGTAATTTAAAGTAAAAATATGTAACAAACTTTCATAATAAAAATTATTGTTCTTCAAATACAAAAAACTTAAGTTACTTTTAAAAATTGAAAGTTCTTTTTTTGCTTTAAAATTTGCATTAATATAACAAAAGACTTTCTGAAGTATCATAAGACTCAATCAAACAGTAGTCACAACATTCAGCTTTCAAAGTATCAGTTTTCTCATCTATTCTATTGGTTTTCTATCTCCAATAGTTTATTCTAACAGCTAACAAGTTTCAATCCATGTGATTTTTCTTCTCCCCTTGTAGCAGACAGACACGTCTCAACTGTCTTCAACTTTTTAGTCAACTTCAAAAAAACCTGAACATTCATTGCTGTCAATTTTTCAATCTGGGAAAATAAAATCACTGGCAACAGGACTGGCCTTTCTCCCACAAATGGCACCCTGATTTTCTTTCAGTCTGAGTCCCGCCCTCTCAATCCCCCCACTACTTACCTTGATCCAACCAGCGAGCGTAAATCAAAAGTGACAAAGCAGCGATGTCTCCAAAAACATATTTCTGTGGTTTTATGAAAACAGTTACCTGAGTAGGTTGGGCAGAACTTAGGAAAGCGCTATCAGCACCAAGAATGATCAGCAAAGAAACTGCTTCTTGCCCTCCAAAGCTGACAGATAACTGAGGGCAATGGGGGGAGGAGGATGCAAGGCACTACAGACAAACGGGGGGAACGGAGGTGTTTCAGAGTGTGGTGGTGAGGGGTAAGACTGAACTGAGAGCCCAAAGAGGGGCAGGGATGGAAGAAAAAGTTCTCTCTTCTCAAGCTATCAAACTCGGTACCTTTTCTAAAATATACCCAGAGTGCTCTTGATTATCACATGTATGTCAATAAATGACAAAACCATTACTAAAAAAGTAAAAAAAAAAAGTAAAAAGCGGGAAAAAAAGAGTGAAAAAAGAGAGAGTGGGGGAAAAAAAGATTAAAAAAATTATTCCTACATATCTAGGCACAGACTAATGTTGTCACCTCTACTCCAAGAGTGAAGGGCTCCACAGCAGTTCTGGGGATGCAAACCAGGATTGTCAGAGTCCCACCATCCTGCACGGCCCTCCCTTCCCCTGTTTTTTTGCCCTTTCCTCAAAACTCATTGTACCAGCCCTCAAAACATTCCTATACCTTCACCAATTCTTTCAACACTCACCAAAAGTAAAAATGAAAAAAATGCATCACTAATATCATGTACACAAACACTTTATAGCACATACTTTATTCTATTACCTGAAACAACTCAGTGCCTGCGCACACATTCAGGTGAACAGGCTATCCTATGCACTTCGGAGATTGTTTTGTTTTAAGATGGAGGAACAGAGAGAAATAGTCACATAAGTGAGGATCTTTTTTATTTTCTTTACATATTATTTAATTAAAGAGGGCTTATTCTCTTGTTTAGAATATGCTGACATTTAGAGTATGTGAAACAAGCAAACACTAGTCAGCATGTAGTAAACATATATACAGATAGAATAAATGCCTCTGAAGGGTGGTGAACGGGATTTATTTTCAGAGGCACTCATGTGAAATGTGGTCACTACAACAAAAATGGAACACTATCCTGCAAAGATAAGTATTTTTTATTTATTTTGTGAGCTGAGTGCCTGGCATGCTAAATCCCATTTTATTCATTAATAAAAAGAAACATACAATTTAGAATAGTTCTAGAGCTTAATATTAAAAACTGCTTTTTAGAATTGTTTATGACTGCTATATCAGTTTGCTTGAAACCAACATGCAGACTTCAACTTTTTGCTAAAGCAGCGTGGGAGAAATTCAACTAGTCAACTATTCTTATTTAAATACATATATATATTAAAAAATGGAACATTTTTATTACAGAACTGCCTATCACTGTCAGAACGTTTGAACTCCCCTCCTCCTCATAGAGGAGCTCTCAGGATAAATCAGTTAAAAGTTCTATTTGGCCAACACGTCTACTGAATTGTGAACAAATTTCCAAATAAATGGCTAAATCGAGAGTTCAATGACATCCACAGAACCCCACTGAAAATGGGTAAATGGAAAAATATGAAGACAGTGGGTTTGAACTGCACTTAATCAAGAAAGAATTTGGCTGCAGAGTATTTAGTACTTGTGCAGAGAAAGCAGTTTCTGAAAGCCTGGCTGACTTTGCCTCTGACATTCATGACAGAAATCTTTACACTGGTAACGTGGAAAAAGCATTACTTTGCAAGTCACTGAAACACAGTAAATATAAACACCTTTCAACAGAACAATAGGGCAAAGTAGAAAAGCAGTTTTTAATATTACATTTCCAAAAATGCATGCAACATCCAGTGTAAATGCTAAGGTAAAAGAAAAACACATAGTCCTCCTCTCTTCCCCATGCCCAAATCACATTTTTACAAAATTAAAAGAGATTACTCACTCTGTCACGTCGGCTGGCTATTTCTGCTTTAATTTGATATGGGTCATACTTGGTATTAGTTGAAAATCCAGAGAATGCTAAACAGATGGAAAACAGCATTTTACTTCTTTTTTTTTTCTTCTTTAATACACTTGTTAATATATGTCACTATTTAACAGAACATTGCATTCATTCTTTGTGTTACAAGTCATTAAGTTTTAAAATAATCCTCTGTGCTAAAGTACAACTGAAGAATTACCTTTGGCCTGCCTGAATTTTCTTTTTGTCCTGAACAACAGCAACAAAAATGGTATATAGCAGCACTACATATTGCCTAAAAGCAACTAGTTTCCATGGCAGGATGGTGGCATTTACTGATGCAAGCAATTTGTGCAACATTAACAATTGCTAATTGCTTCCTAGGTATGTTGAATTAACAGTATGATAGGGACTAAAGTAGCAAAACTATTGTCAGAATAAAATTCAATCAGCTACAGAGAGAAGTTGCCTCCTAAAGCAACAGCGTAGGGAATCGACATACAGATCAGCCTGTGGCAAGTGAGCTCTTAACACAGCGTAGCTCGAGCCAGGTGATGATTTCAAGCTCTGGTGTTACAAGTTAAAGCCTAGACAGATGAAGTGAAGGTCCTAGAGACCAGGCTGGGCAAGACCAACCATGATTTACTGAGTGAGGCACTCAGGGCAGCACTGGCCCACTGAAAAATGCCTGGTATGTGAGTGGATGAGGTTGTGCTGTTAGACCCACCATCCTTTCGTAGAGCTGAAGGCTGCTGCTTTGAAACCTATATCTGTGTCTGCGTTACATGAGCCTCTCGACTCTTGAAAGAATACTGCAACACCAAGGTCACGTCAAGCATGCAGCAACTTGCCAAAATGAGTAGTCATGCCTGGACTAATTCTCTAAATCCAGGATTTTCTCTGGATTTTTTTTTTTTTTTTTTTTAACAGTGCTGATCACAACTGAGTCACAAAAATGCTGCATGGGCACCTCCCTGCCAACCCACAACTGCTGAGCTCACACCACCTCCCACTCATGAGCACACGACACTGAGTCAATGGCAGCACCCACAAGCGAAAATGAGGAAAACAGTTTGTGAAGTTTTAGTTCTTTCAACATAACAGACTGAAACAAGTGGTGGTGGAGACAGGAATCCTTGCAATATAAGCACCCAGCTTTGGCCATCTAGCTGCACTTGAATTAGGAGCCTAAGGTTTCTGTACAACAAACAGAGAAGCAAGCACCGCAGAGCCGAGTGGAGGAGCCAAATTAAGAAAAAGAAGTGGAGAAGTCTTGGGGAATCTTGAGTTGGTAGCATGATTAATCTCAAAAAGTTGTTTTGTTGGGTTTTTTTTAAACATATGACTATCAGCCCATTCCATATTCTCAGAACAGATGCTTGTGACCTTAAACCAATAGAAAATAAATTAACACATCTCTGGAAAATTAAAGTATTTTTTCACCTCAAAACAAGCGAAAGATTTTACTTAAATTATCTTACAGTATCTCATTATTGATTCCACAGATATAAAAAAATCTGTAAGATTGAGAAACAGTCAATTTACACAGTATTTGCATTCATGCTAAAGGTAACATCCAATTTTGTCATTTTTTGTCCTATTTTGTTGCCGTTTCAAGCAATGTGTTTTTCTAAGAGCTTTAAAAATATGAAAACACGGTTATATTTTTCTAGTATATTATTGTCAACAGAAGTTTCTTTCTGTATATTCACCTGAAGTAATTCGACAAAATATCCCACAGAACTATTGCAAATTTTCATAAGACAAAAAGCCCAAGCTCCTAGAACAGTATTGTAATAAATGTATTTTTATATTTTATAGTCTTTTAAAATACTGATGACATTGCATTTTACCCTATTCCAAGCCTTTAAACAGTAAACACTCTTTAAACAATAATCTATTTTTAAAAAATTCTTTCTTAATAAGAAAAAAATAATATTTCTTAATAAATCTTAAGAAACTTCAGTGTATATAGTTCAACAGAATACAGATATATAAAATTAAAAAACAGATGAGATAATCCCAGTTCAACAGTAAAAGAACATTTGGTCAAGACCAAATGGGACACGTCAGCCCTAGAAAACATCTTTTATTCAGGATTTTGACATGCATGTGATTACCTTGCATTAATAAATACCACCGGAACCAGTAACTAAACACTTCTATTCAGATACCTGCTTTGATGCCCCTCATCTTTATGTTTCTTGAACATTTTCAGGAAGGGCTAAGCAGAGGTTCCCATACCTATCAAGTACTTGGCAATTAGCAGCAAATCCCGCAGTTAAACAATGGCTGTGCGCACAGCCGCCACCGAAAAGCCACCAGCGCAGTGAAACTCCACTGTGTTTCCCTGTGGCTGGTGAGTAAATCCATTTCATACACTTCTCTCAACTAGACTGTTTCGACTCTTCAGCAAAGACACCTTTTCCTGTTGCACCAGCCAACAGCCATGACAGGGGTGCGACAACTTCAGATCTCAGAAAGAGCGTATCACCTCCTCCAAGCTACCAGAGACAGATGAAGAATGAAAAGAGCAGGAAACCAAGGCTCTACAACCTATACCACTAGCATTAGGATCAGAGGTTGTCATTCAAGAATGAGGTGCACTAATGAAACACTGCTTTCTACTTCATGGTCAGAGGTACTCCTGACCACAACACCTTGTCCCTAACTCTTTATAAAAAGTCAGTAAACCAACCATGGATCCATGGAAGGCTTCCCCCAAGCTGATGGTTCCCCCTCAAGTCAAGGGTGAAATAGCTATGAATTTAGGAGCCCAAGCAGGTGGCTGGTCCAGTAACATTCAGTCTTGTCTTTGCTACCTTGCATGAAGCATCACTACAGCTGGCTCTGAGATGGCTCGAGATGCTAGCTGGGATATAGCCCTCTTTAATGCTAAAAAGGCATATTCTAACACACCTAACAGCAAAGGGCAGAGTCAAAGGATAGTGCCTCACTTCTATAGTCAGGACCTTCACTCAGAGGAGAACTAGGTGATGGAAACACTTCACACTATTTCTTACACCACGTGTTGTGAGAGGCAGGTGGGTAAATCAAGAAAAGACCAGTAAACTCACAGCTGGCATAAGAACGGCTGTCGTCCTCACACATTTTGTGCAGCTGTTGATATTCTTCTTGGGCCAGTTCAAAACGCTGCTGCTTTATTTGGTAAATCTCTTTCTTGGCATTGAGTGCCTCCTGGGCAACTACTAAATATTCCTTTAGCATGCGTTCCTGCTCCCTTCTCCATTGCTCCCTTGGGTCCTCAATTTGTGTGAGCTCTGAGGAGAAAAGCAAGAAAAAAAAAATTGTAAGCATTTTATCCCACAAAGTACAAATTATTTTGTTAAGGTCTGTTCTCAACAAGCACACCTAGCACTACAGTGCTCAGAATCACTCCAGTCTGGATGAAAAGAATGAAGGATGTAGAGTGGAAGAACAGGAAAATCCCTTTCAAATATAAAAGGCATTTAAATTTGATTCTTTCCTTTACAAGCTAGAGCAAAACCAAAGAAAACAGTGTTTTGGCTCTAACCTTCCCTTGTAGCCAACCTGAAAATTCTGAGAACTACCTAAAAACCCAGAAACACATAGCAGAGTGAAAGGTATCTCAGCTCTTAACCCATAACTCTTTAAATGGTTGCAACAACCTTAAGAAACAATATACAACTTCACAAGTATAACATCCTGCAAGGTCAATGACTATACCTGCATAATTAAGAAGAATAAGGTTATTCAACAGAAAAGTTAGGATTTTAATATCAAATCCATAAAAGCATTTAAATTGCTTCTTTTTTCATCTTAAGAAACAGCACTGTCATGCTTTCCTTTTCCAGGGTTTAGAATAGTTCATATTCAAATACAAATCGAAAATAGGTTTACAGTACAAAATCTTTCCCATATATACTGATTTTCAAAGTTATTACCACACACCAATCTCTTTGCAGTTGCAGACATTTGAGGAGGACACATGCATTAAAAGCCTAAAAAATTATTGGTTCATTTGTTTTCTTTTTGTGGTGATGCTCAAGCTAGCAATTATTTTTCACATGAGGATGTTCATGTAAAGTCTCGTGTTTAAGTGAATGTTAATTTCTGATGATTGAGGCTCTACCAGTAAGAAGTTGCTGCACATGCAACGTCCGTGCTCAAAGTAGTGGCAGAACCTGCAGCACAGTGAGGATGCAAGCACCTAGTAATTTTTTCCAAACTTTGTTTCTCACAAGAGATGAAAGCCAGTTATGTTTTGTATTCATCTTGTGTACATAATTCAGTATATTGGTGTCAGTGATGAAGTAAGAAACTATAAAAGATTGAGCCCAACACATTAAGAACTCTAATGGTGTCAAGGTCATGCCAGCAGATCTACCATTTGAGAGCCATCTGAAAAGTACATCAACAAAACCATGAAGCTCATCTATCTATGAACAGTACTTCCAGCTGATTTGTATATTAGGTTCCTAATAACCTTTTCTCTCAACAGCTGTGACTTTTCTCTCCCCACAACTCCTCACGTTGCAACAGCATAAAATTGTGCCTATAGTTCTGCAATTTCTCCCCACATCCCAGGGACTCTCGATTCCCAGCAGCACCTTCTGGCTCCAATGCCCTCAAACTACCTCTGCAGCCCCAGACAGGACGTGTGGTGGCTGGTTCCAGTCTCCATAAATCCCCCTCTGCAGGCAGGACAAGCAGAAGAAAACAGAGTTCACACTGCAGCCCATCCTTTATTGAGGGCCTGATACTTTGCAATGCTATTTCATTTGTCCAGAAGTATTTCTGAAATCTGTGCAAATTTAATATTCCTAAAACTGCTAATGCCCTATGGAAACTACGGAGAAATTAATAAATATTGACGAGACAGAAAGGTTGGATCCTAGTTAAATGTCTCTTTTTGAATAGGAAATTAATAGTTCTAATCCCAATGAACAGCCAAGGCTAAAATGTTATGTTGTATCACATATTAAGCTTCTGAGATCCTATACTGCAGGGCACTGCCTCTTTTATCAAATTATTTCAGAAGCCTTCTCAAAAGCTAGCAGCATTCTTCTGAGGCAGAGAACTTCTTTAGTACAGTACTGACATTCTCTTCTGTTTTATAAAGTATAGAGGCTTCACTTTGCCCTGGATTTCTACACAAGTTCGCCGTGTAACAACAAAACTAAAGCTATGTTGTACAATAAAATTCACTTCCTTCATTTCTGTATAACCAACTTAAGAAAAAAATAATTAAAAAAATACAACAGTAATTCAAGAACAGCCCCAAACAAATGCAGAGAATATATTATTCCCCCACTGGGGAATGCCCAACTGGTTAAAGGAGACTTCAAAGGCTTCCAAGACTCTGAGGAGGAGGGAAAGGAATTCTGCGGCTGGCAGCAACCAAGGTTTTTAAGCAATGGCTGGAGAAGAGCCAAGAGCAGCTCAGTAAGGGTGTCAACAAAGTACTGAATTTACAGAACAAGATGGAGATCAGGGTTGGAAGCACCACTGAGATTCACAGAAGATTCCCCTGTTCCTGGGGTTTTTAAATATAAATGGAAAGTTATTGCCTAGAAATCTTTTTATTACTTTCTGGGTAAACGAACATAGCAAGAGGCTTGAAAAAATCAGATTTCTTACTGGTTTATTTTAAAAGAGCAAAAAGCTTGAGACAGTGCACAAAGCCTAAGAGGTCCCTGGTAAGCATAACTTTAGAAAGACTCTCTTTGAATCATCCCTTACATTTTCTCACAGTATTTCTTGAAACTGAAGCACTTCTAACTGTTTTGTCAATTATCAGAGAGCTCCAGTGTCACAGAACGCAGCTAACCCAGTCAGCCACAAAAGGCAGCCCAAATGTTCTCACACAGAAGTCGCCGTTTCAAGTATTCCAGACGTAAGTTCAGAACACTTATGTGAAAGGGACTCATTCCAGAAAAACATTTCTTCGGTTCCTACGCCATCCTGCACCGTCTCACAATGTATATTATGGTCTGCTCATTAGTTCTCACTTCTACAAAGGAGGTTAATGCAGTCTTGGTTGTTACCTTTGTCGTCTATAGTTTAAAATTGGACCAAGTATCCTAGTAATTTTTGAAAAATGATTATCCAGCTATAATATCAACTCGGTCTTCCCTTTGAATATAAATCTTGCTTGTGTATGCAAGCACTGTATTAGCCTAAGGGTGACAAACCCATTTTGCTGTGACGGCTGAATTACCATTTAGGATAACATCTGTGGGCTACAAGTAATTAGTTATCATGAAAGAGACAAATTTTGCAACCCTGTTAATTGCAGAATGATGCCTTTCACTCAGTTCAGCACTGGCCTTACGAAGTTTCTATCCCTCTGTTCATATATTACCTTTATTTAGTTCCTAATATGATTAGCTTTACATTTATATGAATCTTCTCTTTCTGTCCCTTCCCACTGAGCATTTGGGAATTTAATTTCTCTCTGCAAAGATGGCCTTCTACAGTTTTTGCTCTCAACTGCACAGAAAAAAAATGCAAGCCAGATCTGACATGCCTACAATGATTAATACCCTTTCAGTAAGTTCAAACTTGATATCTATGATAAAGCAGCTAATAATAATGAAGTCTGAAAAGCAAAAGGGAGTGATTTCTTTTGCATGCACTGGTGATTGCTGTTCCTATCAATATGCCTATTGGCATATTGATATTTAGTAGCTTTTCAGTCACAGCATTGCAATAGGAGTTCACATTCCACTCATTACCTATATGGGCTCCTAAAGCCTTTTACAGAGTTTAAGAAGAAAAAGAAGAGTTGCCAAAATCCTTGTTTGTATTTTTTTTAATATGTGCATTCACGCACGTGTACACATGTTAGTGCAAGTGCCCTCTACTACCGTACTGCGATCTAAACCTCACTTTTTAGTAAACTTCAACAGTAACTAAAGTTAACATGACAGTTTAAATGGCCATCATTAAGCTACTACTTCTTTTAGACTGAGTTATCTTAATAATTACCTAACAGTCTGTATTTATTGCCTTCCAACTGTCTCCACTATCTATCCTTGTGATCCCATTAACAGCTCTTTAAAGTTTATTATTTAATTTGTGATCTTTGTTAATTTCATAACAAATAAGCACCTGTGTGGGTCAAACAACATCATGGGAACATTTGTTATTCTGTTGTGTTGTGTTTTGTTTTGTTTTTTTAAATAAGTAACTGTGAAACCAAAATACACAAGTAAATCCAGTGATGGCAAGAAGCCAAAAATTATTTCTACACTTTTATTTTTTAATTGTCTAGATTTCAAATAGATAGTATTGAGTTGTTTTTGCAGATTATACTGTTTACCATTGCTGTGATAGCTCATGTAACTACTTTCTTCTTTTCTCCCTCCCCGACAACTGCCAATTCCCACAATATTGAAAGCATTCACTCATTGGTGATAAGAAGTTTAATGATAGCAGCACAACAGTAACAGAGGCAGTAGTACAAAGCTGTAAAGATAAGACATTATTTTAAAAGTAGAACTGGCAAGAGTGCCAGACAGTGGCAATACAAAGCTCAGCAATAGTCCAAAAGGGAAAATGGTGGAAAACTCTCCCAAAGAGAGTTTCCAAAAGGGACATCTGTTTTTGTTTTGATAGCACTTTGTACTGCACTAAAGCAGAAAACACTGCTTAAGAGAGGGTGAGATTATTGTATTTCATAGTGCTTCTAATTAAAAATCAGCATTTTTCTCTCAGAATTTATTTGTTTTTCAGTATAGAATGAACTATGGATGACTGGAAAGACAAGAAATACAATCGTATAGCATGAAAATTTGTTACATGACACATGACAAAAACCAATTGATACTCTACAGTATGACAAAGCAGAACAGAGTACTTTTATAGACTGCATCTTAGTCATAGATTGTAAAATTATTTACAAATGGAGGAAGGATTGTGCCCCCACTGCAAGAAATTACTTGTATACATTTTCTCACTGTAGTATGAGGTGTGCAAATGGTATTGGAAACAAAGTTTGTGTGACAGTTTCACTTGGCCAGCCCTTGGCCAGCAGCCAACACAGCTGTTCACCTGCTTCCCCCCCACCCCCAGGGAATAGGGGAGAGGGTTGTGTGGCAAGGATAAGGAGCTTCTTCCAGTTAACATCAGCTTGCTAGGATTCCTCAAAACAATCATACATCTACTCACGATTTATGTGGTCCATATAATAAACTCCAATCTGTTGATCGTAAACAGTTTCCCATCCTAAAGGAAGCTCATCACCAACACAGTCAGCAAATGTCAATGGCTTCGTAATCCTGTAAAAATAAAAGGAACATAAATAAATGCAAAAGATGCAGAGTTTACAGTGCAATGAATCTTATTACATGTTTTGAAGATATCTCCACCATTTGATCACAAACTAGTCATGCTGCTTAGGAACGTGCTAATAATCACAAACATACAAACATACAGTTTCAAAATAAAATTTCATTTAAATATGCTGACAGACACTCCCCGAACCCGTAAGACAAGCTTCTCCCTTCAAGTTTCTACATTTAACAATTTAATTACAGTGGCATGCAGTCCTGCTAGTTTTTCTCTCACACTGCAAAGAACACAAACTGAAACTGGTGAAGCTGGAGTTCACCACTGCTAAAAATTACCAGAAGCTTTATTGGCTTCAACTTCTTTAAGGTGTCAAAGCAGTACAATTGTTTGTCCTTAAAAAAAATGAATAAAATTTTTAAAAGCACTAGATAATAGACTTCTCTTTTCAATTAAACATTTCTAAATATTAAGGATATTCTCTTGGTCCAGACCCATCCAAATTACTTCCTTTCCCTCAAAACAGAACACAGACAAACAACTCTCTCTAAAGAATTCTGAAGCCATTAGAGCAGAAATAGGAACTAGTAAGTAACAGCATTACTATCTAGCAGCTTAAAATATCACATCCCTTGCTAGGCAAACTCTTGATAGACCAGTGGGTAATAGAAAACCAAAACAGCAATTTCATTATTGACAGAAATGTTGAAAACATTGGGTTATAAATTCTACAGAAAGACTCTATACCAACACTGCTCTAGAACAGCAAGGCATATTAAAAAAACTAGGAAGAACAAATGCTGCAAATAAAAAAAACTTTAACATTCAGTTGAATCACATCTACTTCCCAGATCATAATTTTAATCATTATTTAACCCCTAAAAGAATGTTTTCCTCTAAATGCTGCCATAAAATTCCCTTACAGAAAAGCTATTAAGATAATAATTTCAATTGTACATGGGATACAGATCCAACACCTTCGACGTTTATTTGTTGAGGCATTTCTAATATCAGCTGATGACAGCTTTGCAAAGATTAAATACATGCATTTAAGTTCAGCATAACCTATAGCCTAACACTATTTGGCATAAAATGCAAATTATATACTTATGTTATAATACCCAATTAAGTTTCCTTAAGATTTGGACTATGCTTACAAATACACTGCGGAATAGAGAGATCATTGGGATTGGTATTTGCACTTCATCTGATAACACCTGCATAAAACAGTAACTTTGAACTAGAACATGTCTGTCTTCAAACTAGAAGTCCTTCCCTATCCCAAAACAAAACCAACCAGAAGAATACAATGATAAAGACTTCAAAGGATGGAAATACTACTACAGCTCCATTCTAGCTGTCCCAATGGTTGAGTAAGTGCATCATCCAACCATTAACAAAAAGCACGTAACTTCACACACAGCAAACAAAAACTGCATTTACCTGCCTTCTAAAATTATTTTAGCATTCCTGAGACTAAAGTGTTAAAAGTTAAATGTAGTAGAACAATTTAAAAAATCCTTACTAGCTTAAATTTAATGTTTGAACAGCCTGTACAACTATAAAAAGACCAAGTTATTTAGGTCAAATAATAAAGAGCTTGATCATATGCTATGGATTCTCAGACATGTATAAACAGTTTAATAAGATGAAGATGTACATAAACTTGTGCACCACTATTTAAAGTAAAAAATTTCCATTACTGACAAATACATATTTTACATCATGTAATCATGCAAATCTAAAGCTGCTGCATTCAAGAAAGAAAATGTTACTATGAACTGGCATATGCATTCTTTCAGTAATTCGTCAGGCAGCCAGGCTGATCAAATATTGCCAAAATACTTCTGCTCTCCCTGGAATTCAGTCAAATATTAAAAATATAATGTGCAGCATTTTTTCTTAAACTCTCATGGTTTTGTTCTGCAGACATCATGTTTACCATTTCTCAAAGTAGTCTAGACATCAGCTCCTAAATTATCACACTATAGACAAGATTTTCTTTGGAATGAGTTATGAGACATGCTTGCCTGTTATACAAACACACCTTCACCCTTTATTCATAAATAAAGCCTGCACGTGATACCCTAACCTTTCGCACTGTAAGAACTTCAATTCAATGCACTCCACGGTCCCACAAGGGCTCAGACTTCCAGGACAAGGACAACACTCACTTTCTGGATAAGGAAGACTGGAGAGAGCCAATGCACCTTGTCTAACCAGTTTTCATTCCAATGCTATAAAGCATGCATGAACAGTTTAATTAATGGGTTTGAAGGAAACCTTGTAAGAAAAAGAACACATAAAAAGCTGTCTTCCAGATATTCAGACCATTATTAACTTGATGCTGCTCATTTAAAACTACATTCAGAGTTGCTCCAAACCGGATTCCCTTCAGACAAAGCAGAACGTCACATTGATTCTCCAATCACATTTGTATCAATGTAGCTTGGACCTTCTTCATTCAACTCATCTAGGTCAAAACATGCAATGCTTAAGCTAAGAATTGGAAGTTTCTCCCTGTGCTTTGCACTGGTTTAACTAAAGCAACTGAAAAAATATATTTCTGGTTTAACGAGCACAACTCTGATGACAAGACTATTTTTTTTCCAGTTAGGAAAACTAAGGGCTTCCAGAATAACAAAGACAAAATGGAACAGATGCAGACACGGATATTGGAGGTCAACCACAAATTACAGCATTAGACCACTGAAATTAAGTATCTTCTGGAAATACTGCTTTACCCTTTTTTTAATTAATTAGCTTAAGCACTATAAAATAGGATAGGTCTTTTCTGCTTCTATTTAAAGAAATGTACAAGGCACAAGTACATCTGTTAAAACATTTCAAAGTATTAAATAAAAACAAAAACTTTTTGAACCATTATAAAGACGAAGACCAAATGAAAACGCTGCCATCTTCAATTAAATAAAAAACTAACCAGGGCTGCCCTGAACTACTATTATTCACAGTAGTAAAGAAACAAACGAAGGCATTTTAACTGTCACCAGTGATCATCTCCTGTTTGCCCCCACCACAACTGACAGACACCAATAAGAAGGTCTGGAACTTCCAGTTGAAGACAGAATTCCTCGGGGACCAGTTTACAACATTAACTGTTTGCGGCCACCGGATCTACAGCCCAGGTACAAGCGACAGTTGTTTACGAGGACCAATTTTGCATATATCAAAGAGCCAACTATAACTTCAGATTAATTGATTTGCTGATTCTTTCTTATCTTGAAACCTTTATCCTTTCCAAAAGTAATGATGCTCTTCAGTCATTAGGCATCCAATCTTTTGTGACTCTGAAATCCTTCAAAAGCAAATATGGAAACACGTAAGGCGGCTTGTACAACCCAAATCCTGCAAATCAATCTGAGAGAAAAATCTTTGAGCATTGTCATGTGCCTTGCATCTGTCACCTCTAAGTCTACCCAAGTTAAATGTTTTTGTTAAGAAGAAACAGAAGACTGGTATTTGAATGCAGGAAAACAGACATATCTGAAAGCCCAAGTTTTATTAATATTTTCTCTTCATCAATTATCAAGCCAAACAGTTAGAATACAGAAATCTAACTACAAAACAAAACCAAACAGCTGAATAAAACTGTTTCTGACTAAGAGGTTTTCTTCCTCCTCCTTTCGTACTTATTTCATATCTTCATCTATTACCCATACACAGGAGGTTTCCAGAACATGTTACTACAGCAGCAGCAACAGATATTTCCTGAAGGTATCAGTTCATGGTGGAGAGTGGGTAGGAAGGAAAGAAGGCAGCAAAAGTATCTATTACCCATACACAGGAGGATTCCAGAACATGTTACTACAGCAACAGATATTTCCTGAAGGTAACAGTTCATGGTGGGGAGTGGGTAGGAAGGAAAGAAGGCAGCAAAAGGCAATGGCTAAATACTATTTTAGATAAATTACTGCAAAACTGCTCTCAGATTTACTATACTTTGCTAACAAAACCTAATTTCAAACCCAAAAAAAGAACTCCACAGAAAACCTCAACCTTTAAATAATAAAGGAATACTTCAACTCTCTAAAACACAGTTTGACCAACAGCATGCGACAGCAATTTCATTGTTATGGATTTTCAAAAACAAAATCGGAACACTAAAAACACAAGGCATCAAAAAATATTAGATAAGATCCTCAGTCCTTCCATGGCCCTGATGCCACATCAGAGGGCCCTGGTTGCTTGAAATCCCTAGGTCTAATTGAGCAAAACTTCCCCTGGGAGGAACTAAATTAAGACAAACAGAGCCTGTTTTTGCAAGATCTCAAACAGGAAATCAAAAAGCTGTTTCTGAAGTAGCAACACCGCTGCAAACTAGCTGCCATCTCTCAGACAACATCTAGAGGCCTGAACTGCATCCAGGGTCACTTTATCTTGCAAAGTGGGCCTGGATTAAGAGGAAAGCACTAACCAGGAGGGCTAATTATGAAAAAGAACCAGCAAGTTCTGAAGAAAAGCCACCACTTGTAGGGGAGACAGAGGAAAGGATGCAAGAACAGCAACAGGCAATAGTGCTTTTGTTTTTGTTCCTGATTTTGGACAGGTCCAATAGCTGAGGCAGAAAATGTCTAATAAAATTTGATACTCCTCAACAGACAACTAAGAGAAACATTCTCTTAAATCTGATCTCAGTCTGAATAGTCATCTAATGGGATAGACGGTTTTGCCTGACAAATGCAGGTGTTCCTCACCGTCCTTCCTCTGCCATGGACTCAGCTCTCCTCAAGCAGCCAAATTATAAAAACAAGTTGGATTTTGAAAGACAGTTTGGCAAATTGCATACTGACTGCTTAGTCAAAAGTACAACAACACCCACTCATTACAAAAATCCCTCAGAATTTTTTTCTTAATCCAAATTATGTATCTTCCTGTTACTGCATAATTTAACCTCGAGTTCTGAACATAATAACTTACTGAACATCTACTCAATCCTTCATTAAAATAAACCCACAATACAGATGG